TTTCCGGATAACGCTAAAAGTAAAGACAAGGTCTTTGAATTTTTCGCAGCTTTTCTACTATTTGAAGTACCGCCAAACACTTATCATGCATAAAAATCTTATAAATCTAAATTAACAGCTTCTAAGTGCTTTTTAATCATTTAACCTTGATTTGACCTTCTTAAACTCGCAATAACAAATTCTAAAATATTTCAAATGTAAAATTTCCCGCTCTTTTCGAATCCGGTGTCAAAAATAGGAGTTTCCATTTTAAAAAATAATCTTGACCTTCAAATAACCTTGAAAATCGACCTGAAGGTCAAAATTATTAGCACAGATAAATGACCCTCATTGTCCTCGACAATTTTTGTCCCAACCATTTTTTTGTAGCTGGCATATTTTAGGAGATATTTGGATCCGTCGATTAAAATGGGTCATCGTGTATATGACGCACCTAACAAAAACTTAATTTATTAACAATAATAAATTACAAATAAACAAACAAAACTAATAAGTTTTTATAGAAAGTCCTTTAATTAAAACAATTAATAAAACTATAAAATATGTATTACAGGCAGTAGGAGTCGACGCTGGTTATTACAATTAGCGCAATTTTTCTTAATACTAAAAATATAAACCTTAACTTTGAACGTTTCCACTCATGATTTGAGTCTTCATCAGCAATCTTTCCCTCTAGCGCAACGATTGGAGTATTGCATGACAAAATCTCCAACATTTTTCCTCTCAAAAATTGAACCGTTTACTGTTGTGAGGTAAGTCACATACTCACAAAGTTAGAAAGCTGAGTGGCAATGCAAACTCAAGCTAAAATTATATGAAAAATTAAATTATCGTATGTATAATTTGAAAATTAATAATCTCCTCACCTCACACAGTCGACACTTCTACACTGAACAATGAATCTCTCTTATGCAACATTTTGTAACTCGTTAATATATAATAAATTATCGTCAAATTTTAAAAAATAACTGCGAGAACAATATGTGTCTTGTCATTTCGACAGTCGGTTAAATAATGATTGCTAAACAAGTAACATAGCGGTCAATTTGAAGACAAACAAATTTATGACATATGGTATATTATATTACGAACAAGCCTTAAAGTTTATTGAGAATTTCAATGTACGCATGATGTAAACCAATGGTATCATGTTGTAGATTCAGCCCATTGGTCTGTCGATTAATATGCATCATCTCTGATATTAACCTTTTATTGTAATAATTTTCTACATCCAAAATCTCTACGTTTTACCAATCAAAGTCATGATCGTTTTGCAACCTATGTTTAATTTATTAAGTATTATTTACTATTTTTGAGGCAAAAACAAACTATCAGTAAAACTTTGTACTGTCTACTATTATGAAAAAAATATTAAAACTAGAAATTTAAAATGCCTATTAAATTTCTAGTATTGATTGTGTTCTCACATATACGGTCTAAAAATAAAAATATTGTTTAAAATATTAAAAATCCGAAATACTTACTTTTCGAACTAAAAAAAGAATTTTTTGCATTTTTGCCGTATATCCTATGGGAATGGGATATGCTGCTCATAGGGAGAGGGAAATATAGTATACGGCTCATGAAAAATTTACAAATAATGTTTATATAAATAAGACGTAAAATGACACTATAACCTATAAAATATGTATATGTTTACAAAATTTTATCAAGGAATAAGAATGATAAATATGTAGGGGACACCGGGGCACCATAAGTCACAAAAATTCAAACTCTTAAAAGTGCATATAAATATAAAAATTTTTGTATCATTGTTTTTAACAATTATGGCATAATGCATATTTTGAAATTTCATAAGTATATTTAGTAAATATTTATTAGTTCATAAAAAATAAATAAAAACATATTTTTTAAGAAATGACTTATAGTGACCCGGGATAGCATAAGTCATACACCAAATAGTAGAATTATACAAGAAATAACGGTGACGAAAGTTGAAAAGTATTTTCAATTAACTTATACATTCTTAGCATAGTCACTAATACAATAAAATATAATTACTACTAATAATTATTAAATAATAAAATATAGAAAGTTATAAGAAAACAAATGAGATATATTTATGCCAAATAATCATTAATATAAGATAAAAAATTTATTACAATAAAATAAAATTAATTACTTAGAAGTATAAACTGCCCATTTAGGGTATTGCTTATATACGTATATTTTCTACATTGTCCTGTTTTTTGTGTGTGTGGGC